TATATATATATATATATATATATATATATATATACAGTACAGAACAAAAGTTTGGACACACATTTGGACACAAAGGTGGCTACTTTGAAGAACCTATAATATAAGACATATTTTCAGTTTTTTCTCACTTTTTTGTTAAGTATAGAATTCCACATGTGTTAATTCATAGTTTTGATGCCTTCAATGTAAATCTACAATTTTCATAGTCATGAAGATAAAGAAAACTCTTTGAATTAGGTTTGCCCAAACATTTGGTCTGTACTGTATATATATATATACATATATAAATATATGTATGTAGTCCATTATAATCGCACCTTTTCATCAAATGGAGTGGCACTGGGTTTCTCTCAAGGAGCTCTCCGTTCTCTCGCGCAGGAGAGAGACCGCACACCTGCGACGTCTGCGGGAAGGGCTTCACCCTGCGGCAGCTGCTGCGGAACCACCAGCGGCTGCACGCCGCCGTGCGCCCCTTCGCCTGCGAGCTGTGCGGCAAGAGCTTCTACCGGGCGCACGGGCTGAAGATGCACGGGGCCGTGCACACGGGCGAGCGCGCCCACGGCTGCCCGCACTGCGGCAAGAGCTTCGCCATCCGGGGCAACCTGCAGCGCCACCTGCGCATCCACACGGGGGAGAAACCCTTCCGCTGCGACACCTGCGGGAAGAGCTTCAACCAGGCCGACACGCTTAAGGGCCACCGCCGCATCCACACGGGGGAGAAACCCTTCGCCTGCGACACCTGCGGGAAGGGCTTCGTCCAGAAGAGCGCCCTGAAGCTGCACCAGAGGACCTCGCACGCCAGCAGCCAGCGGGCGCTGGCCTGCGTGGCGTGCGGCGCGGCGGCGGCCTGCGTGGACTCGCTGCGCCGCCACCTGCAGACGCACGCCGCCGGCATCCCCTGCGGCTGCGCGCTGTGCGGCCGGCGGCTGTGCTCCATCACCGAGCTGCGCGCGCACCAGCAGGAGCACACGGTGGAGAAGCCGCACGGCTGCGAGGTGTGCGGGAAGAGCTTCAAGTCGCCCAGCTACCTGAAGGTCCACCGGAAGGTGCACAGCGGGGAGCGGCCCTTCGCCTGCGACACCTGCGGCCGCATGTTCACGCAGCACAGCAGCCTCAAGTCCCACCAGGTGGGTCAGCAGCCTGAGGTCCCACCAGGTGGGTCAGGAACAGCCTGAGGTCCCACCAGGTGGGT